CTTTGTCAGTCTTTGTACTCATGATTAACTATAAAGCACTATAGATAACAGCAAATGAACCAGTGAAGCATCTATCACTGTGTTAAATATATTCATTCTGCTTCTGGTAAAATTTATTAGAGGAGAGAAAGAAAGTTTAAAATGTAAAAAAGTATGGGAGAAATTGCAGAAGTCAAGTTCTGGTTATTTGGTCGGGACTTGAATCCTGATACATTATGTCAGTTTGTTATTCAAAAATGTGACATCACAATATCAGCATATGCACTTTCTGGTTGGCATGATGTCATAATATTGGTGTGCTTGCTAGTTGTCAAAAAGGCATTAGCCCATTTGTATCTTTTCTATTAGACTATCACACACTTATTAAATTTATTGTATCAACTAGAGCATGTATCATCAAATTATATTTTCATAAATTGGTCATGGAACATATCTCAGATTATTTTATTGGATTTCCAACTTCAAGTGTGAGGGCCTAAAGTGACTGCCTAGTTTACTTCACCCTAAGGCCTGCTGTGTTTATTAGAACTCTCACAAGCTAATTAGCTCATACTTACAATTTGAAAATGCTGCACCCAGATTTTTACAAACAAACTTCCAATGTCTAAATCAGCAGTATAACCTTAACACGAGAAGTTAGGAAAAAAAAACAGAAAGAAAAACACCTAATATAAAAACTTATCACAAAATATACTTAGTAATACGACGCTTTCAAACATTGATTAATTATAACACTTATAAGCTCTAACAAAGTTTAAAGCAGTATCCAGTCTAAAACCTGGTTTTAAATTTTTCAGTTAAGTTCTATTTGCCAGCAGATGATGTGATAACAATCCAATTTAGGATTATTATTGGCTACCAACAAAACAACTTATCAACTTATTTACATAGATTAACAGACTGATTTATATATGCCTGTATATATTGTTACTGTGACAAAGACCTAAGCACCACCCAGTCATTTGGTCTCAGTATAAAAGTAATGCTACAGTTAATTGTAATTTGGTGTTAGCTTGCATCATGTAATAAAAAAACTCAAGAATCAGCTCAACTAAATGACAAGAGAAAATATGCAAAATGAAGGATTACCACCTGATAATGACACATATTGTAATTGTAAGAACTTACAAGTTAAATAAAAAAAATAATAGGTTCTATGCCAACCATACTACATTTGCTTTATCCAATGCTGAAAAGGCCTTTTGCCCAATACCAGGGCTTGTCAGGCTGACTGGGGTACAACAGACATGTAATGGTCTTGATGCTATTTATATCACAAATTTTTATAAACAGTGACTGCTATTTCATAGAACTATATAATTTAATGGACTACCTTGAAAAACAATTACATTGATTAGTGTCACATAAGCTAATGAATTAAGAAAAATTATGATTAAATTCATTAATCAAAATTAGTGTTTTTGATTATGACTGTTTTCATTTATTCCAACAAGCAATTAATTATCACAAAAATAATCAATTAATCAAAATTAGGGTTTCTCATTATTACATTTTTGAGTATTCCAAGTAACCAGCTTTGGTGATCTGGGGGGCGGGGGCTGGCTGGCTCATGATTTGAGGGTTTGGGGTTTGATTCCCATTGTCTTCGAACTTGCTCACCTTGTTTCTGTTATTGTAAAAGTACTAAGGCTATTTGCCACAGTCACTAATTTTCAACTGCTGACTCTAGAGGGAAGGTCTGGCAGCACACGCTGCCATTGTTTTATTTTTTTTCAACTGCTGATTAGAGGGAAAGCAAATGGCTGGCAGCACTTGTCATCAACACGTTTTTTTATTGCTTGCTTGTTTGTACATAACATGGTTTCAAAAACATTGTACTAATTTATTAATTGAGTGTAGTCAATTAATAAAGCCATTCATTACTTGATTTGTAAATAATCCGATTTCAAGCTCGGTCGTAATGCAATTTACTGTCACGTTGTAGAATATATCACACATTGAAAGAGACCAGTTCCAGCTCTAATTATAATTTTGTATTCCTTAAACTCGTGCATCAGAATAATCATGTGTAAGGTCAAGTGATAGCTTGACCTTTATAATTGCAAAATTACAATCATATTACAGTCATCCAACAAGGCAGTGGGCAAGAGTATGATGTATAAGACTTAAGAAGGTCATGATAGTGTATCTCATCTAAAGGTATGTCACTATTTTTGTCACTGGTTGTTCAGAGTTGTTTGTCATCATTCTATCAGAAGTGCTAACTGAATTGTGAAATGTATTCTATTAGGCATGTCTATCAGTTACTGGTTACTGACAAAGAAAAACATGATCATTAGACTAGTTTATGAAGTGAAAATTAAAAAACTGGATTGTGACCCAGTTGACTGATTCATTCAAAAACTATCAGGACTCAACTATCTTCAGTTGTACTACACAAAAGACATTATAACAAGTGTCATGTGGCAGTTGAAAAACTAGTCCAGAGTGTACCTGAAACCTATTTATTAATCATCAAACCAATCTCATAATACCTAATTTCAACATTAATTGACAAGGACTTTTTCCAATATGATGTTGAAACAATCTGCAGTACTCATGTTGTATAGTGACTTCAGTCATACTGTTTTACTATTAAAATCACTGGATCTTAATCGAGGTTAGAATTTTTGGAATGTATTTAAATATTACATCATATTTTTCTCCATTTTCAGTCATCATGCCCAGAGCAATTGTTAGGTGATGCTGTATGTGAATTTTATGCTAAACTGGACAGCAGCTTTCATAACATACAGACAAGACAATATAGGACCATTTGGTCCTTCAAGTCTTTCCATATGCACCCAACCTTGAGAAAAGATAAAAAACTAAACCCGTGCCCTTTTTTCTCTTTTTAAGAAATTATGAATTCCCCTTTTAAGTTCATGTAATAGGACAATCTCCAATAATGCCAGTATCAATTCATTCATGAGCCAATCATTCTGTTGTAAAAATGAAACAGCTGTGAAACATGTTCTGTGCATACTATTGTGAATGAGCTTATATAGAAAAATTCATACTCAAGTATTTTGTAGAATTATTCCATTCTGAATCCAGTCTGTTATTGTAGGAAGAGGTGATTCAACCTAAGGGTTCTAATAAAGTGGCCAGTCAGTGTATAAGACTAATGAGATGTCATGCAGGAATTAACTTGGTAGTTTTAGTTTCCTTACAAAAGCAAATATATCAACATTTTAGGAAAACACAAAGACATGCTTACAATTTCATCTAGAGCTCAGATCTAGTGGAGATTTGATTCAGGTGCTTATAATTGTTGCACTGTAGTAATCTACTTTTGGGTGTTAGTTTTAATGATTGGCTGAAAAGGTTGGAAATTCCAACTTGAATATCAGAAGTACAATATGGAAGTTTAAGTTTTGGAAGCCTACTATAGGTTATTGTATTTAGCATAAGTATTTCTCTGTTAGAATTATAGACTTGTGGCAAAGTATGCTTGAGGATGTAATATATACTATTAAATTATTTTAAACTTTTATTAAATAGTACTAATTGCATTTAGATTTGACACTTTGATTATAAATGTGAATGAAATAGTGATCTTGAAAGGTTTACCAGTATATTAGCTTTCTGTTAGCTTTATTCTCCTTATGCCTGTCCATAAAAGTCACTGTAAAATAATATTGCAATATGCTTATCACAACCTAATGCCTTTTAAGTAGTCTCAGGTAATAACCTCAGCACAGAAACATGTTAGCTATATTCATTTAAAAACTTGTGAATACTTAAATTATAGTCTGTTTACTTTTGCCATCCTGGCCTGGATTATGTAGTGAAACATGAACTTGTAGTACTGCCATACTGAGAGTAAAGAATTTATCAGGTATGTTATCAAAATGCATCTAAAAAAATCATAACTTTTTAATATAAAATATGACTTAATAAGGTATGCTAAAGAAAACTGGTAGTTTCACTATAAAACTACTGAATGCAGTTAGATATTTAGAAGAATGAGAGTTTTCAAAAATTATTTATGTACTTATAGTTTTAGGGGTCATGTATTTTAATGTAAAGCTCATGAATCATTTTCATTGAACTGACTGTTAAATGCTTATTGGTAAAAGAAATAGTATAAATTGGAGGCTTAATTCTCTTGACTGAAATGTTTGTTACAAATATTATGTTTTATGAGTTATGAGAAGTTAATTGTTTATTAAAAAATATTTGTGTACGTTTTGCATTTTATTTTTTTATTTTATAGATTTTTTTAAATAAAATTTTATGATTTTTCACGTGTTAGATCCTTTTTTTTCCCATTATGAATTTACAGGTTCGCCACATACTTTGTGAAAAACAGTCAAAAATTTTAGAAGCTATGGAGAAAATTAAGTCTGGTAGGAAATTCAATGAAGTAGCTGCTGAGTATAGTGAAGACAAAGCTCGTCAAGGGGTGAGTTGACTCTCTAACCGTGTGCATTTTCCTTGTTCTTAAAACATTACCTTTTAACCTTAGAACTACCAGTGGGACTCATATGTACTCAACCTATTTTTGAAATACATTTGGACCACCTTTCTTGTTACAGAGATTACATAAACATTTGAACAAATATATCATCAATATTACAGTTAATTCCACTAATTACTTGTGAGGTTTATATTTATTTTGCATAGAAAATGAGTGAGTTTACCCAATTGTTTTGCTTGGTTCTTTATACTGATTGTTGTAACAAACAAAAACATAAAATTACCCAATATGATGCAACATGTGGACTCCACTGACAATGAATGCAATAAAAAGAAGTCTGTAATTTGATAGTTAACACTGTATCTAAATCATAATTAAATTAGTGCTTGGATAGGCTATTTTAACTATTTGGGGTATCAATCATTACAAAAGTAGTGTGGTTGTTGAATTAATTTGTCAAGAAGATATTTATTTAAACACATAGCATAATTTTATAAGTATATTATTATTTTAAGTGAGAAAAATGTTTTGGTAACGTGCTAATAAATATTCTGAAGTTCAAACTGGTAGTGGAAGGGTTAATTTAAACCTTCCCCATCATTGTGCTCTTTTAGATCAGTAAAAATTTTGTTGAATTCCTGGGAAAATTATTTAAACAGTGGTTGAATTTAATTTTTGTAATTTTGAAGTCCACCAGACTAATGACCTCTATCTAATTTTGAGTCTATAAAAGAGCAAAAATGAAAGAATAATATGAAGATGTATTTTTCCAATAGATAAATGTAAATTGTCTTCTTGAATGTTATAAATTTCAACATAACACAACATAAAAACAGTATAACTAATTATCAAAATTTGTTTACATGTACAATAGTCTTTCAGTAGATGAATTACATGAGAAAAAAAAGTAATAAATGTAATTAACCTTCATTTTAGTTTCAATGTTTCCAGTTATTACTTTTCAAACCCTGGTTTAAAAATAATACTGGTAGTCTGTCTGTAATGATGCTACAGTGTGTTAGTCACACTTACAACAGTACATGAGCATTGCCAATAGGAATAAAAAGATACTGTTCATTACTGTGGTAGAAATCTTATTATATAATTATAAAAGCATCACTAAACTAATACAGACATAATAAGAAAGAAAAACAGAGTGAGTTAGTTGATTTTTAATTAATTTTAGCACAGTATTCTTGGAAATATAAGGTTGGTCAATACATTTCTGAAACTAAATAACAGAAAACACCATCTATAAGAATTTAATGTTCTTCCCTGTATTGTATTCTAGAATATTATACTTATTAGTGAATGTCCTACATTATAAATCTTGACTGAAGGATTCTTATTAAATTTGATTTCTATTAAGTGTTTTAATTTTGTATAACTTTTTGGATTTAAGTGGAATTGAGTGCTTTTTTTCTTCTTCCTTTTAGGGAGATTTAGGTTGGATGAATAGAGGATCTATGGTTGGTCCATTTCAAGATGCTGCTTTTTCTCTTCCTGTCAGCACTCTTCAAAGTCCTGTCTATACTGATCCACCTGTTAAAACTAAGTTTGGATATCACATAATTATGGTGGAAGGCAAGAAATGACAAACAGTTTTCATTGCGTTTTTTGTACAATATTTCTTGTGTTATGAATATGTAAAAGTCTTATGCATAATATGTAATAAAGGGCTATGTGAACTGTTTAGTTTTTTTTTATTTATTTGATGAGAAGATCTAAGATTAAGATTGCTCAGCTTGGCACTATAATTTGTTCTTTATGTATTGTAGAAACAATAATAGCAATAACTTCTGATCAGAGTGAGCTGTGTACTTAGAGTAAGACTAATAATCAACCTGGCCATCAGTATAACTAATTAAGTATATTTTTCTTACATATATACTTATAAAGCTTAAAATGCATTTTTTCATGAGTTGGGTACCCTCAATGTTAACAACGTTTTTGGCCGTAAACCCAATAATATCTTGCAACTTAGGAGATTTAGGTGAGTCCTAAATAATATACTAAGTTAACAATGTAAGACAATCTTTATAATGAAAGTTTTTGCAATACATCACTAAGTCACCAAATTTTGTTTTATCATGTATCAAAACTTTTGTAAAGAATTATTGTCTCATATTATAATAAAAACATGTCATTAAAAATATTTTGATCTCAAATATTATGATAATAGCAACAAATATAAATACAATAACTTTGATTTGCAACATTTTTTGATTCAAATAACAAATACAATACATGCATTTTTCTATACAAAAGTTTTTTTAGAGCCTATGCAGTTATGTGATCAGAACTATGTGACAAGTAATTTTACTTCCATACTGGACATCAGAATCAGTTCTTTGTTGCATAGTGTGTGGTGAAATGTGTTGTAAATTGTGACTGTGTTATATATTTACACAGTAGTCATGTCAGATATGTTTTTTTTTCTTCTAAATTTGTTGGTCACAGAGATCAAAAAGACCATCCAGTGTTTGCATTGAAATTGATCCTTATCTTATTCCTTAAGGGTTTTAGTGACAATTTTAATTTACCAGAGGTGCAGATGTACTTTGCTATTTTTAATTACTTACTATTATTCAGTTTCTGTATGCACTGGTGAAACCATGCAAGAATATTAAATCTTAGAAATTTGTAAATATTTTGTTGCTAGCTGAGTGGGAGACTTGAAGAACTGAAAGAATACCATAATCATGGTAAATATAAGTATAAATAAAGTAATTTTATAAAATTACATTATCCTTAGTAGGATTTATGTTTAGCCTTTAGTTACCTTTTGAACCATTCACAACTTAATGTCTCTCCTGTCTTTTCCCAATGACATATTTTATGTTGTTACTCGCTTCCCATTGGAGACAATCAAACATTTTTGCTATTGATGTGTGTGTGTGTCACTTTTTTTCCAGAAGGGCTTTGAACTTGTATCCTAAAGAGTTTCCTACCAGAAGCTTGGGCTGTGAGAGATGGTTACTTCTGTTTTTCTCCCATTGTGTTACCTACTCCAACTGACAGTGATTTTCATTTTGAAGAATGCTTTGTATGTCTGATCAGAGCTGTTTGTTCTTTTATTGCAGGAACAGGAACTTTTTGAAGAAACTGACATAAGTTATTTATACCATGGTGAATCCTGCTCTACAAATCTTACTTCATCTTCATTAACAAATTGGTTTGTGCAGCTGACCATTTTATCACAATGTTTCCAAACACCTTAAATTGAAATTTCATCATATTAACCATTTGAATGTGTATATGTCTAAATGTTTTTTTTTCTATTTAACCTTCCTTATATTGCTGTATCTTTAGTTTAAGGACATTTATTACCACCTTTAATTATTCTCCATGGTCGATGGAATCTGCATCTTGCGAGTTTTGTATATTTTGCCCAATGTGGATTTTAATAATTTCCTGGGTGTTTAGGATTGTAAATAATTTTGACTTCAAAGCAAACAATAAAGATAAAATAGCTAAATACTGTCTCTAGTATATTGAGAATCTGTATTTATATCAGTACGTCCACTCAGGGCTCTTACATTTTCTTTAACCCCTGCATTTATTTGAAGCAACCCAATAATATATTACAAAATAACCAGGGCATCTATTTGTATGAGACTCTGTGTATTGATATGTCCAATTGGAACTTTTGAATGTTGTATATTATATCTCTGCATTTACATTACACAAAATTCCACCCTTTATGCTTGAGCTCCATGAGAGGGCATTTATCTTTCAAAATGTACCAAAAGTGTCATTTGGTGGCTGATGATGACTCAGCAGGTACTTTTGGTATGTCTATGTACAGATTAGAGTTATTGGAAACAAGACTACTGTTATCTCTTGATGTATTATATCCAACAAAGATGGAGATAATGTATATTTTTAATATGAATGAAGAGGAGCTACTGTCTCTGGAGTATTTCCTTTCATAATACACATCTGGGCTGCTCCCCCTGTGTCCCTTTGTTGACTTTAAAAATTCAATATACCATTAGGCTCACAAAACTGACTTCTTTTCCTGAATTAAAGGTCATTATCTGTGAAATGGTACCCTGCTGAGAATAATGCCTTCTTTCTGAGTGTCCTTTAGGTCTAGCATTTCTATAGGGCTGCTTAACTCCACTCATTCTTTCTTGTTTCCAATATTTTCTCTCAAGTCCATTATTTTCTGGTTCTAGATTCTACTGATACTCTGCTTGACTAAATATTACTTGCAGTCTGGGTTATCTTTTGCCCATGTAACTTGTTTAATATTTTTCTCTTTCTTTTCACATTCACTGGCTTATAGTATTTCAGAGGTAAGGTTACATAATATGAATTTTACATTTTTAGAACTAAAATGAATTTCAAACAGGGACTACCTCTGAAAAACATCCCCTCTTATTTCTCCACAACCAAATTTTCACCATGTCTGCATCATTCAATAAAATCTAAATTATGATATAAAACAGCATATATAAGATCTCCTGGGAAGCTGTAGAATTATGGGTAGGTGACATGCTTTCTGCTATGAATAAAGGACATATGAAATTTTGTGTCATGTTTTTGTTCATGGCATTCATTCAAACTTAACAAAGAAAGGCATCAGTATTTCAGAAGTAAGCACCTGTTTTTAATTATTTTTATTTCTAAAAATGTTAAATTTAAAAACAATGGCCTTAACTAGATTAATCTTTTAATACTATCTCTCTCCTAGCAAGTTTTTATACCTAATTCAACAGAATCAATTAATTTTATTTTCCTTATATCCCTAAAACGAAAATTTCCCAAAGTTCAACACTTTCCAAATTTTCTCAAATTGCCATCACGTGAAAGGGTGACACACCCTAGCATTCGCATCTGATAGCTATAGTAAATGAAGATAACAGTGAACATGTATCCCAGTAGTTCGGATGGGAGACTTAACAGATTTTTTTTTTCAAAAAGTATTTAACACGCTTGTGTTTTATTTTTTATTTGGATTAAAAGAAGTTTGTCTTTCAAGAACAGACAGTGAATGTAAATATGTAATGTACTGACTGAATGAACAACGGTTCAGAGTTCAAATAATCAAATCAATGCTTCTCTGAGGAGGACTATAACACTTTTAGAAACTGGAAATTTATCATGCAGATCCTTCTTCATATTGTATATATAATACATACAATATTTTGGATATATAATTGCACATTAATTGCCCTCTACAGTCAGAGAGAGCACCATGGACAAAGTATTGATTATTCGATGACGAGGAACCCACTTTGAGACTAATAATGGTTGGAGACGGCTTGAATGGGTAATGAAAGTTTTTCTTCATTACCCATTCAAGCCATCTCCAACCATTAAAAGTATTGATTATATCTATTATCATTAAGTGATTGTTAATTTCAGAAAATAGAACTAGTAAATGTGAACAAGTATGTCATTCCATCTGTACTTGTAATAGGTATTATCTATATTGGTAATAAAAATAAATAATTTTACTTATAAGTTTATAAACTGTTTCTCATAAACTAAATGAACATCTAACATATTTTTTGGATAGAAGGTTGATATAGTAAGCACATCAAAGTGAAGTTGTATAAAACGTAAAAGAACAATTGTATATTGTCTTTAATGAAGTGAGTAAGTTTCTGTTAAATAACCTTTTTCTGACCTAGTCAGAGCTCTTCTTTCTAAAAGTAATTTAAAAAAATTGAAAACATATATTTTCAAGTGATTACTTCCAAAAACGTTTTTGCAACGTTGTTTTTAGGTGCATTTTACAACTAAAAGAGTTTTGTCTTATCATTGCTACTCAGTTTGATCCATTTAAACAGCTATGGCTAAAACTAGCAAGATATTGAAGCAATTCACAGCATTTTTCTGCTCCAATTTGGTGATGGAAGGTGTTAAAGTACCTCCAGAGATGAAGTAAGAGAATAAATTGGTGAGAACAGTAAGTGGCCATAAAGTTCCAGCAAGAGGAAAGCTGATTAAAAATGGAATAAAAATTTTATTTGTGTTTCTACTTAATTCAGTAGTACACATATAAGTAGTACACGTATACATAGAAGTTGTATGTTTAACATAAAAACTCTTGCATCACATTAAGAAGCATAAATTTGGTTTAATAAATTTGTCTTATTTGATTAGATAAATGTACCTAGTATTTTCTGAAGACAAAAATAATAAGAAACTTCAGGTATTTATCTATGTTGCACTTGACCTTGTTTTCGGTTACATTCTTTTAAAGTGTTTTTCAAAGATTTTCATACAACATTCCATTAAAAACTAAATAAATCTATTAATAACTATTTAATAATAAACTTTCAGGACTGAATCTGATGCTTATTATGTCTAGACAACAGATTTTACATAATACATAAGGAAACCCAAAATTTTCAGATTAACTTCCAGCATGTAAGTAAGAAAAATGACAGGCAACACACACACACACATATATTTATAGCTTTATCTCATTTTCTTCTACATTTAGGTAAATATAAGTATTTCTCTCAAAGTATGCACAAAAACTCCATCAATGGTAAAAGTACAAATACTTTTATGGTTTATAATTTCTGTCCACTACCTCATTGAACAGATTTAAGCCATTGAAAAATGTGAAGATTTCTAAAATTGTATTAGATCATAAGAGTAATTAGCTTTACACTTAATGTGAATGTACAGACTGGAGCACAAATAAACAGGCAACCAATAGCAGGCATAAAATT